AGCAGAATCTTCGTCCTCCTCAGCACCAAAAGCGCTGCAAATGACCAATGTGTCACAAAAAGATGGTGAAAAGGGTATTCTGGATGAAGAAGAAGCTGATGAGCAAAAGAATTCGGTGGCTGCATCCACTAGTACGCAGCTTCACAATCCAGAGGAGCCAATTGAAAATTGGATGGCTCGCAACGAACACCTGTGGGTGTATACCCCTCATGTAAGTGAGGTGATGATGACCCTTGGTGTGACCAATGTGTCGGACTTGCAAGAGTTCATCTTTGTGGAAGATTTGGTTGACAAAGGGATCAACAAGGTGACCGCATGCAAAATTCTGCAATTGGTGGGTGAGGTCCGATATCGACCGGGAGGACCGGAAAAGGCAGTTCCTTCTGCTGCGTCTGTACGGGTACAACAATCTTCTGGGAACAAAGGGACTGGAAGAGCGGCGGCGCGAACCCTCACTCAGGTGCGTGAAGCTGAAGGCTCCGGTGCAAAAACGATGCCGAGAGGCTCCTATCGGGAGCTTTTTGATAAGGTCAAGTACCGTGACGCTTGGACGCTTGCGCAGAGGTCTCCACTGTGCGTACAGAAGCTGAAGTTGGTGGGAGTTGGAATGCCACCGGTGAACCCACCAACAAAAAAGTATCGGTCAATATCAAACCCTGTGAAAAGGGGAAGGCCCTTGCTGGACAAAAAACAGGTGCGACAGGTGCCACGCTCTCGCTCACAGCGACGAGCGCAACCGGCGGAAGTGGTGGAGAAACCAAAACCACTGGAACTGAAGCCTCGTGGTGGGTTGTCGTATCGGTTCAGCAGAGCGTGGGCAGATGTGGTGGACGATGATGATCAGGCGGAGGCTTTGGTTTCTTATGCCGCTTCCTCAAGCGATTCAAGCGAGGAAGAGACCAATGCTGTGCACCGCATGCGGGAAATCCTTTTGCAAGAAAGGGATTCACAGAGAACTGCGATTCGTGGCAATGTTCCGATGGGTGGTTCTTCCGGCCCCAATGACGGGCAGAAAAAATCGGTTCACCTTGGCAAAGAACGCGACAAAGCGTCGCGGGGGGAGACCCGCCAAGAAGTGACTTCTCAAGTTTTTTCGCTACCACAACCTTCTCGTCGAACTGAACAGTCTCAAAAAAGAGCAAGGGATGGCTCAGTTATAGTTGGTTCGCTGGCGGTGGGCTCCACGGATGAGGTTTTACCTGGGCAAGGTGTTGCTGGACAGGTGAATGTATCTGAAGGCGCTCAAGTTCTTCCTGGGCAAGAAGTGGCTGGACAGGAGACGGCGCTGGAAGGAGCGGTGCAAATTCCTGGCGAGGAGACTGACCAAAACGAAGGAGAAGGTGGGAGCAATGAACTCCATGGTGATGGTGCGAAGACATTGGATGTTCGTCCGGTGAAGAATGTTCCTCAGCAATTGCTGGTTAAAGGTCTTCTGAATCGGATTTATTGGAAGGTTGCAGTTGGCAAGTTGCCGGTGGGGCAAAGAGACTGCCAAAAAGGGTCCAATAAGATGGATCGAAATTTGGTTATTAGCATGTCATCCGAAGGTGCAAGCGAACAGGATGAGAACCTGGCACTGGAGGACGATGCTGATCAGTCAATGGGTGACGGTGCGATGGTAGTTCTGGTGTATGATCCAAGGACGCTGATTCAGTCGCCTACAACTGATTGGGTTATGCGTCGTGGTCTGACCGATCGTTCCGTCAGGCCAGCAATGGCGTACACAGCACAGAGAATATGTGCTGAAATGGTTCAAGTGGATGAACTGAATGCCCAGTTGAATACTGGGAGACTCCTTTTTGAAAGGAGAGATCAAGGATATTATTGTGATTTGCATCATTCGTTCCATGACAATCCGTGCTTGCCGGTGGTGGGAAATTATCCTCTTTCGGTGATGGGTGCACTGCTTTCTCCTGGCCTGGAAAAGGAATTCAGAAATACTGAAAAGTTTGGAACTGCTATGGAGGCAATAGCCTATGATTGGAGTCGCAGTCCAGGCATGGAAGTTCATGTGGAACTTATGGCAAGGGTAGCCAATCTGGTCGCTCCATTCCTTAGACTTGGAGGCCAAGGGACAGTGGTGAATTCCGAGTTTCTCTGGCAGCACGGGAGGGATCAAATGATGGAGTTCCTTCAGGCGGCGACCTGCGCTGATCAATTGGAAGTTCTCTGGAGAAGAATGGACGACGATGCTGATGAGGAAGTGGATCCTACAGGAATGGTGCTGGAGATCCCCGATCAACAAGATGCGGTACTAGATCAAGGGAACAATGAATCCCTTATTCCCATTGAAGATGCTGGAGGTGAGACACTTGGTGACACTGGAAGGGATGGCAAAGCGCCAGAAGTCTCTCCGGAAGAGGAGACATCCAGTGGGTCGTCAAGACTGGCGGGCACAAGGATTTTCTTGTGGTCAGTGTACTCTCGCGTTGCTTCCAATTTCTCTACGCAGGACCGCACTACTGGGAAGATCTTTGACAGCACAAAGGGGTATCCTGGTGAAGGACCAAACAATGGTGACAATCCTTCCTCTAAGAGGAACTTACCCTGGATCTCTGAAGACTACCTCGACGAAGTGGTGTCAAAAAAGATGGAAAGGTCTTCAGATATGGATGGGCTGGAGGGGTTTGTTCCGGGAAGTGAGGGATCGTTGGAAAAGGTAGAGGTGGAGAATGTTACTGCCTCTAAAATTCTTATGGCTCTTTGGAAAAAGGGATATAGAGCTGGGTATAGGAGGTTGTGTCGTTTGAACGTATCTGGATGCAAGGTTGGAACCGTGAAGCGTCCAATCAAAAGGGTGCAGAAGATCGGCACTAGGAAAGCCTTCATGAAGAAGTTCAATGTTTTTGGATCGTCTCAGCGTGGCTCAGGAGCTGGCGGAAAACCAATCATGAAGGTGGTAGGACCAAGGCCAGGTTTTCCAGCTGTACTCCAAGCATCAAATACTGATAGCACCTGGGGTGAAGGGAGCAGTTCTCAGGCACATGGCAATGTTCATGTAGAGCAGAATCGCCCTATGGACCGGTTCGAGGCGGAGCGCTTGGAGAAGAGGAAGAAAGGCTTCTGCTATTGGTTCAGTAAGGGAAAAGATCGCTGCAAATTTGGTGAAGACTGCAAATTCATCCATTCAGAAGATGATGTGGTGCTGCATTCGTATTGGTGCAAATACTATGTGGCGGGGAGACCCTGTTTCGCTGGAAAGACGTGTGCGTTCTCGCATGATGCAACTGGTGTGAGGTGCATTCAGTTTGCTCAGTCTGGGAAGTGTCGTTATGGTGACAGGTGTGTTTTTGAGCATGGTGATCCGCTGAATGAACAGAGGCCAAGGTCTCCGAGGACGCCCCCAAGGGATGGTCCAAGGAGAAGTTCTGGTGCAAAAGGTGGGGAAGAGGAGATCTCTCCTGAACAGTTCGATGATGGTGAGGAGTATTCCATGACTTATGACGATGACACCAAAATGTCGGAACTGTTGATGGAAGCGATTTCATTTCTGTCGAATGGCAAAACAGATTTGGCTCGAGCAGAGGCGGACCCACTGTTCAAACTCCTGAAGTTCAAGGGAGATGCTGACCAGATGGATAGAGAATGGGTTTCGTGGACCGACGATATGTTGTCCGTGCTGGAACTTCACGAAGTAGTGAAGTCGTATGAGGTTTCGCTCGAGGAGGTGGAAGAATGGGTCAATGACCTGAGGATATGGTTCGAGCGAGCCAACGTGGAAGAAGAAAAAGATCCCAAAAGGGGCAAGAAGAGGTCCCTAGAAAGGGAGTCCAGCAAAGATATTCCTGCCGAAAAGGAGGTGGTTGAGACTTCTGAGACGGAGGTTGTCGTTGAGGAGGAGGCAAAAAAGGTCAAAAAGAAGAGGAAAGCTGCAGTTATCGAAGATCCTTATACTCTCTTGGTTCCAAAGCCGAAGAAGATGCCGGCGAACATTGAGAGGGGTGGATCATCATCCAATGCGGTGGTTTCTGCAGGGGAAAAAGCCTCGAAAATGCGCACAAAGTCAAACGTCGGTGGAAAGACGAAGAAGAAGGAGAAAAGTCAGAGTCCCAAAAAGGAAGAGGTGGTAATGGTGCAAGGTCCTGAGGAAAAGGATCGTCCATCTGATGTGGATGCGCAAGCGTCTACAGCTGTGAGTGCAGAGCTGGGTCAATCTTGCCAAGCGATTGAGGACGCAAAAAGAGAAGGATTGGTATCCTCAATTCAAAGGGGCGTACAGGATCCTGTTCTTGCAGTTTCGGACCTGGAGTATATTCTGCTGCAACTTCACCTCAAGATTGCCAACAATCGGAAAAAGAAGTGATTGGATGGTATGGATGAAGGGATGGTTTTTCTCTTTCTGGAGACAGGTGCGCTGGAACAGCCAATGTGCTGACAAATGTGGTGGTTACTATTAAGGGTATGGAAATCCCTGATAGTAGAAGTCAGTAGCTTTTCGCGTAGCGAAGACCACGGTTTGTGGTGAAGAAGGCCAAGGAGTCTTCAGTGATGAGAGGATCATGGTGAAAAAAGATTCTCTATGGTTAGTGGATTTAGCCAATGTGCTATAATTTCGTCCTGGTAGACGTAAAACCATATTGTGCATTTCAAGCAGCTGGCTGCTGCCCTAATGGCAGTTTTTGGCCAAAGATCTGCACCTCCAATGTGTCCTAGGAAATCCTAGGACAGGGGGAGTGCGGAGCTGCAACTGGTATTGTAGAAAAGAGTTAGTGTTGAGAGTTGAAAGGGTTAATGAACCCGGAAAACATGTTTGGCTCAAGATGGCCGAGAGCCGTCAGCTTTTGTTGAAAAAGTACGTACGCTTGGAGTTGGGTTTAACGGGTTGGAGTAGTCCCGTCCCTTCTCCCTTATCTTGTCCCCTTAGGGCTGGGTGTTCTTGTTTCTGGTTCGATCTGGGAAATCTATATAGGCGACTGTTGAGGGTTGGTTTCTTTCCCTGTTCCCTTTCGGTTGCCCCCGTATAGGGTTTAGGGTTACAGGAGACCCTCATCCCTTGCGGCCTCTGAGATGTCCACGGCTTCGGCCTTGTTTCCTCCACGACCTGACAAGCGCAGTGTGGTCGGTGGTTTCCGAAATTGGGGGTACCTTATTTGTTTTGTTGGGGTTTAGGGTTTAGGGTTTAGGGTTCAGGGTTTAGGGTTTAGGGTTTGGGGTTTAGGGTTTAGGGGGTAGGGTTTAGGGTTTAGGGTTTAGGGTTTAGGGTTTAGGGTTTAAGGTTTGGGTCTAGGGTTTAGGGTTTAGGGTTTAGGTTTAGGGTTTAGGGTTTAGGGTTTAGGGTTTAAAGGGTTTAGGGTTTAGGGTTTAGGGTTCAGGGTTCAGGTTTCCGAATTTAGGGGTACCTTATTCGGGTCCTTGTGGTACGGGAATCCTACTGTTTGGGCGTCCATATTGGGTGACCCTATTTTCGTAAACACCCGTGTGTGCTCCCCTGAACGGTATCGAGTTGGAGAAACCCTAAACCCTAAACCCTAAACCCTAAACCCCTACTCCCTAAACCCCTACTCCCTAAAACCATGTGCCGTTGCCTTCTATCTCTCCAGACTTTCGAGCGGCCGCTCCTTCCTGCTTGGCACTGGCTCGCATCTTCTGAGCCTGACAGGAGTCAACTTGGTCCGCGCTTGCTTTTTCGCAGCATACGAAAAAACCGAAACCCTAAACCCTAAACACTAAACCCTAAACCCTAAACCCTAAACCCTAAACCCTAAACCCTAAGCCTGGTCGTAGGCTTTCTTCTTCTCCTCGTAGTCTGCTCTGCGCCTTGGTGTGGGGTTCCTGCAGTTCATGGGGGGGGTGGGGGGGGTTTAGGGTTTAGGGTTTGGGGTTTAGGGTTTAGGGTTTAGGGTTTAGGCTTCTGCAGAACCTCCAGCCCTTAAACCCTCAACTCCGGCTAAACCTTGAACCTTACCCCTGAACCCCTAAACCTCAAGCCCTAAACCCTAGCTAGATCTGCAAAGCTTAGTCTTAGATCTGAACCCTCCCCAAAACTTCGTAACGAAACCCTCGTGTTGCGCGCAGCTTGGGCCCAAACTTGTCGTTGATTTTTCTGGTTCGAATCTTGGACTCCTCATCCCCCCAATACCTGCACGCAAGAGGCTTCAGGCTTAAGGGTTTAGGGTTTGGGGTTTAGAGTTTAGGGTTTAGGTTTTAGGGTTTAGGGTTTAGGGTTTAGGGTTTAGGGTTTAGGGTTTAGGGCTTAGGGTTCGTCCCCTTGAGATCTCCAGTCGATGTCACAAGAGCTTCTAAGGCAGGAAGCCCTGTGGAGGCGCACTTGTTGTATTGGAGCCTTTCCAACTCCTCCACGAGCTTCTTGAGCATTCGCTCGATCTCTTTCCTGTCTTTGCTGTTTAGGATTTGGGTTTAGGGGTTAGGGGTTTAGGGCTTAGGGCTTAGGGCTTAGGGCTTAGGGCTTAGGGCTTAGGGCTTAGGGCTTAGGGCCTAGGGCCTAGGGCCTAGGGCCTAGGGTTTAGGGCTTAGGGCTTAGGGCTTAGGGCTTAGGGCTTCGGGCTTAGGGCTTAGGGCTTAGGGCTTAGGGCTTAGGGCTTAGGATTTCGGGTTTAAGGTTTAGGGAATTTTGGTTTAGGGTTTTGGGGTTTGGGGATGGAGTCCAATCTCCAATCGAAACATGACTATCATTAAGCTTTGCATTCACTATGTGGGGGTTTGCGGCAATAGGGGACCCCGAATTTAGATCCCCAAATGCTAGGATTCCCTTATAATCAGGGCCCCCAAGAAGGCACCCCTAATTTAGGAAACCCCATGTTTCGAAGATTCCTACTCTGCCAAAGTGGATCACGCCGAAAGCATGAGTCCTTAGGCAGGAGAGGGCCTGGAGAAATTGAAGATGATGGCCGGCATGATGTCTTTTTGATCAAGGTCTTTGCAAAGCTTGAACAAGGTCGCAGCCTTCCAGAAAGCAGCAGATGTGCGACCGTTCTTGGACTTTTTCAACCAAGGACTACATGGCTGCCTGCAGGTACGAGGTCTCCTTGACCAGCTTGGTGAGGTCAGCCTTGCCAGGTACTGAGAAACCCAAAACCCTCAATCCTAAACCCTAAACCCTAAACCCTAATCCCCAATCCCTAAACCCCAAACATCGACTGCGGGTTCGTGCCTCGTTCTCGCCCTCCGTGCGCGGAGGAGGCTTGAAGCCTTATCGTCGAAGGTCACAGCCTCCTAAAGCCGACCGCCACTCGGCAAAACCAGAGACCTAAACCACCCAAACATACCCAAACCCCCCCAAACCCTCGAAATCCCCGTAATCCTAAACCCTAAACCCTAAACCCTAAACCCTAAACCTAAACCCTAAACCCTGCGCCCACGTAGTGCCGCAACTTCTCTGGGTGATCGGACTCTGAAGCGACGGTGGCTGCTGGAGGGCCATGGTCAGCTTCGAGAAGCCCTGCGGGACCGCAAGAGCAGATTCAGGGGCTCTAGGGGTTTAGGGTTTAGGGTTTAGGGTTTAGGGTTTAGGGTTTAGGGCTTTAGGGCTTTGGGGCTTTGGGGCTTTAGGGCTTTAGGGCTTTAGGGCTTGGAGTTTAGGGTTTTGGGGTCTCAGGCTCTGGGGCTGTATGGGCCTAGAAGGTTTGGGGATGCTTCGGGTGCAGTGGAGCCTCATCTCCCAGGACCTGCCATCAGCTGTGCCAGCTTAATGCAACTCCTATGCGCATGTTTCGACAGGATTTAGGGTTTAGGGTTTAGAGTTTAGGGTTTAGGGTTTAGGGTTTAGGGTTTAGAGTTTAGGTTTTAGGGTTTAGGGTTTAGGTTTTAGGGTTTAGGGTTTAGGGTTTAGGGTTTAGGGTTTAGGGTTTAGGGTTTAGGGTTTAGGGTTTAGGGCAAGACCTGCACATTAGATTTCCTCAGACTAGTTCACACGCAGACCGGGGGAGTGTGCACACCGTGTTTGCCACGCTGTTGAAGGAGATCACAATGCCTGGTTTGAGATTGGGGATGCTACAACTTGCTGGTGGATCTGTCCTACTTTGTCGTCTGCTCTCACATTAACGTCCACTTTCCGCATCAAACTGACTAGTCTGACCCGGCTTTGGTGATGCACCATTCTGGCTCTTTCTGCCAAAACGTGCCGGCTGACGTCGGCGTGAAGAAGCTGCAAGAAAGTCTCCTAGAACGGGTAGCAGCGCGGCAACTGCAGCACAAGACAATACCTCCTACGATGCATGGGGGGCATCTGCCAGACAGTCCTTCAGTTCTTTCTCATACTCTCTTGCATCGATTTTCGTGACAAACCTCGGTGCGTTTAGGGTTTAGGCTTTAGGGTTTAGGGTTTAGGGTTTAGGGTTTAGGGGTTGGCACTGCAGCAACTTGCATCAGATGTTCACGTTGCGCTGGGGACGCTGCGACTGCCCTGCGAAATACACCCCAGGAGACAACCTGCAGTCAAGAGGTGGCGGGGTTTAGGGTTTAGGGTTTTGGGTTTTAGGGTGTTAGGGTTTTAGGGGTTTTGGGGGGTTTTGGGTTTTAGGGTTTTAGGGTTTTAGGGTTTTAGGGTTTTAGGGTTTAGGGTTTAGGGTTTAGGGTTTAGGGTTTAGGGTTTAGGGTTTAGGGTTTAGGGTTTAGGGTTTAGGGTTTAGGGTTTAGGGTTTAGGGTTTAGGGTAGCACAGGTGTCGGCCCGGCCTGTCCCATTTATCGTTCTTGCCGATGATGGCCCGAACCTCCACTGCGCAAAGCACTTGAACTTCAAAGCATAGGCGCAGAGATCACTCTGCCTACCCCGCTCCTGGCCTCCTGGTACAGCTGCACCATTTCCTGTATCTCTCCACAGCTTTCCGCACGAACCAAGTGCGCAAGAAACCGGTGAGCAACGCACCCGAAGTCCCTAAACCCGAGGCCCCAAGCCCTAAACCCTAAACCCTAAACCCTAAACCCTAAACCCTAAACAGCTGAGATCCGCTCCCTTGGCACGAGGCTCATGTCCGAGGACATACCATTTCGGCGCAGGGAGCTCTCCACGAGGCAGCAGAAGGGGTGTAGCGGCCTTTAACGTCGTTTGGGCTGTTCTTTCCCTTTTTTGGTTGTTTGAGGGGGGGGGGGGTGTTTCGGGTTTAGGGTTTAGGGCTAAGGTTTAGGGTTCAATCCCTAAGGGTTTGGGGCTTTTGGGTCAGGGTTTTGAAGCTTGAGTCCTGATGGTTTGAGGGTTTAGGGGTAGATCCGATGGGCTGGTTCAAACTCGAAACCCCGCAAGGCTTGTGTGAGCCGAGCCTAAGCTCCCCCTTGTGCCACACGTACTTGTAGAGATCCTCGGCACTCGAAAAGATCACAGAACTCCGCGAGAAAGCAGGGACGGGCTGTGTCTTGAGAAAGTGACGGAAGCACTCGCAAGATACATGTTATTGTCATTATATCACGTTTACCATTTTATATCGATAGTATACATTGCATGTCATTTTCGTCGGCTGAAGCTATATGATTGTCTCACTATAGGTAGATAGTGAGTTAGATATGCCGTGCCAGAGTTTCCTAAAGTCGTGTGTCAGCACTGCCGCGGACAGTAAATGGCAGGCCTTATCCTGGTCTATAGTCAAGAACCCCATAGAACCGGATGAGCCAGGTCAACAGTTGGGCTTTATGCGCTCCCAGCGGAACAGAAGCCCAAGATGTACGAAACCCCAATCAACCACATCTGTAGAGCATAAAGGGGCTCCAATCTCTAGAGCAGGGTAGGCCATCCGCAGCCCGGACCATGCGGGTTTTCTCAAGGCCGGCTCGCATTTCGGGGTTTAGGGTCTAGAGCTTAGGGTTTAGGGTTTGGGGTTTAGGGTTTAGGATTTAGGGTTTAGGGCTTAGGGTGCTCGCCGCCCTCCAAACTGTCATCGCTTTTGGACTTCAGGGCTCACCTGGTCGTTCACTGTTTGGGGGCCTACGCTGGTGAGATACATGGTATATACTGCATAGCATATACTATTTTCTATATGCCATAGACGATGTACTGCGTACTGTGTACCATGTAACTATGTACCATATACTTCTTTCTATATACTATGCACTATACCTATATGCTTGTACATACATACGTACATACTCTGTATAACTGGATAACACGAATTCTCTTCAACCTTACTTCGTTTGGCAAGTGATGCTGCCACGTTGCATTCCAGCGCTCGCGGTGCTCCACGATGTTCACCTCACGCCGAGGAATCTTACCAGTCGCGCACGCACGCACGCACGCACGCACGCACGCACACACACACACACACACACACACACACGGCCTCCACGAGAGTGTGTTGATGACTTCTTCGGATTGCTGGTTTCAATGTTTGGAGACGAAAAGTCTCATGCACCAGATGCGCTGCCGCTCTTGGGCTGAACTCTCCAAACTGTTGGTTAGCAGGGAATGAGGGAATGAGGTGCCCTATATATATACCCTTTAAGGGATTATCTAGGGTACCTCATTCCCCCATTCCCTACTAACCAACAGTAAAATGGCGGCTTCTACTAATTGCTTAAGACCCCCCCAAAACAAATAAACATTTTGCCTTATTAAGGGCAGCATAGGGATTATTATCTTTTAATTTTTTGGGGGGGTTCTTAAGCAAGTAGTAGGCTGCTTATAGGGCAATATAGGGATTATTCTCTTTTATTTGTTTGGGGGTTCTTCAGCAAATAGTAGGCTTGCCTTGGAGATCTTCTTCAACTCATTGACTCGGCCTTGGCAGCGGACGGCTGAGTTTCAGACATGAAAAAAGCATCGCCATGGCACATCTGGCAGAGTCCACAACCCCTAAACCCTAAACTCTAAACCCTATGGTGCATTTACCCCCCGTTGTTGAGCACTTTTTGGTGCAATCGGCACCGTCCTTGAGCACTTTTTGGTGCGTCGGCACCGTTCTTGCGCGATTTTTTGGTGCGTCGGCACCGTTCTTGAGCACTTTTTGGTGCAATCGGTCGGCACCGTTCTTGAGCCATTTTTGGTGCAATCGGCACCGCTCTTGAGCCATTGTTGGTGCAGTCGGCACCGTTCTTGAGCCATTGTTGGTGCAATCCGCACCGCTCTTGAGCCATTTTTGGTGCAATCGGCACCGTTCTTGAGCACTTTTTGGTGCAATCCGCACCGTTCTTGAGCCATTTTTGGTGCGTCGGCACTGTTCTTGAGCACTTTTTGGTGCGTCGGCACCGTTCTTGAGCCATTGTTGGTGCAATCCGCACCGCTCTTGAGCCATTTTTGGTGCAATCGGCACCGTTCTTGAGCCATTTTTGGTGCAATCCGCACCGTTCTTGAGCCATTTTTGGTGCGTCGGCACTGTTCTTGAGCACTTTTTGGTGCGTCGGCACCGTTCTTGAGCCATTTTTGGTGCAATCGGCACCGCTCTTGAGCCATTGTTGGTGCAGTCGGCACCGTTCTTGAGCCATTGTTGGTGCAATCCGCACCGCTCTTGAGCCATTTTTGGTGCAATCGGCACCGTTCTTGAGCCATTTTTGGTGCAATCCGCACCGTTCTTGAGCCATTTTTGGTGCGTCGGCACCGTTCTTGAGCCATTTTTAGTGCGTCGGCACCGTTCTTGAGCCATTTTTGGTGCAATCGGCACCGCTCTTGAGCCATTGTTGGTGCAGTCGGCACCGTTCTTGAGCCATTGTTGGTGCAATCCGCACCGTTCTTGAGCCATTTTTGGTGCGTCGGCACTGTTCTTGAGCACTTTTTGGTGCGTCGGCACCGTTCTTGAGCCATTTTTGGTGCGTCGGCACCGTTCTTGAGCCATTTTTGGTGCGTCGGCACCGCTCTTGGGCACTTTTTTGGTGCGTCGGCACCGCTCTTGAGGCACCGCTCTTGACACTTTTTGGTGCGTCGGCACCGTTCTTGAGCCATTTATGGCGTTCTTGAGCACTTTTTGGTGCGTCGACACCGTTCTTGAGCCATTTTTGGTGCGTCGGTACCGTTCTTGAGCCATTTTTGGTGCGTCGGCACCGTTCTTGCGCCATTTTTGGTGCGTCGGCAGAGCACTTCTTGGTGCGTCGGCACCGTTCTTGAGCCATTTTTGGTGCGTCGGCACCGTTCTTGAGCACTTTGGCACCGTTCTTGAGCCATTTTTGGTGCAATCGGCACCGTTCTTGAGCCATTTTTGGTGCGTCGGCACCGTTCTTGAGCCATTTTTGGTGCGTCGGCACCGTTCTTGAGCCATTTTTGGTGCGTCGGCACCGTTGTTGAGTGAACTTCATATTTCTTAATGTTATGGGGTTGGGTTGGTTCCTAAGCCTGGAACCTCCTAATGACTATGAATGCTAGAACAGTGACCCTCTAGACCCTAAACCCTAAACCCTAAACCCTAAGCCCTAAACCCTAAACCCTAAACCCTACACCCTGAACCCTAAACCCTAAACCCTAAACCCTAAACCCTAAACCCTAAACCCTAAACCCTAAACCCTAAACCCTAAACCCTAAACCCTAAACCCTAAACCCTAATCCGCCAAATGAGGGAGCGGCTCAGCCAGTTGTGGAAGAAGCTCGGGTCTGACACCGTCGCGCTGAGGGCGATGAAGGGGCACGGAATCAACTGCAGTGCAGGATGCGTATGTTGAATGCAGTTTAGGGTTTAGGGTTTAGGGTTTAGGGTTTCGGGTTTAGGGTTTAGGGTTTCGGGTTTAGGGTTTAGGGTTTAGGGTTTAGGGATCCTATGGGATGATCCCAAGCAGTATACTATATACGGTATGTTGCATATCATAAATGTAAGTTAAACAGTATCTTGCATATTCTGCTTGTAAATGTTACGTCGTACATACGTACATATATATATATATATACACACCCTCTACCCCGGAACTCGTGTTCGCAGCAGCTTCTGAGTTAAGAACCTAATTCGTCAACTGAATAGAAGTAAGGCTACTTTCAGGAAGGGGCTGGCCGGATAGCAAAGGTAGCCTCACTCCTGCTAACACAATTAAATGCAGTACCCCACCTTTAGGTTCTTTCATGATTTGCAATGAATCAAGGAGTCCAAAATTGAATGGATGTAATAGTCTTCATTGAGAACGGCTAGTTTTTTGAAGCTATCGAAGATAATTGGCCTTATGCCTATTGTCGTATTTCTGTTCGAGCCCCTTACGAATTGATACTTTAGTTGGTTTAAGACTAAACTGGACTTGCTTCGACTGATCTAGCTACATACACCTCGACGCAGAATTGCAGTATGGACTGCGAACCGCTGAAGACTTAACATGACATGCAGAGTTCTGACTTTACGGATAGAAAGATGAGAAAGTATCGTGACTACGTGCGGCTTTGTGAAGACTTAAGGGGCAAGTAGGAATTTGGTTGTACAACGGCAGGCACAAGAAATAAGGCAGATCATGAGGAGGTGACCATGTATGTGTATGTATACTCTTACTATACGCAATATGAAAGACTACATATTATGATGCACGGTATGAAACATTGGAGAGGCCCTAATCCCTACACCCTAAACCCTAAACCCTAAACCCTAAACCCTAAACCCTTTAAATTAAGTCAACCCGCAAAAGCTGCGCTCGCGGTGGGAGTGTCTGCATTCTCTGCGCCTGCATGCAGTGCTCCCACTGAACGCCTCCTTCTTGCTCCCCGATGCAGTGCACCTGCCCAAAAACAGGGCTCTGACCTTTGAGGGTTTAGGGTTTTTAGGGGTTTAGGGGTTTTAGGGGTTTTAGGGGTTTTAGGGGTTTTAGGGGTTTTCAGGGGTTTTAGAGGTTTTAGGGGTTTTACGGGTTTTCGGGGTTTTAGGGGTTTTAGGGGTTTTCGGGGTTTTAGGGGTTTTAGGGGTTTTAGGGTTTAGGATTTAGGGTTTAGGGTTTTAGGGTTTAGGGTTTCAGGGCTTAGGGGTTGAGGCTTTACGATCTTGGGGCTTACGGGTTTAGGGGTTTTAGGGCTTCTGGGTTGCTGGGCTTTAGCGTTTCAGGGCTTTAGGGTTTGAGAATCACCGCCTCGTCGAAGACAACGTACCGCAGTCGAGCCACCCAGTCCTGTGGCACACAACATCTCACACCCATCTAGGGGTTTCCTTGGGGGGGGGGGATGGTTCTTGCTACAGCCAGGATGGTCTTTAGGGCATAGCTGCGGGGATTCCCTACTGTCGGAAATGCCCATCGAATCAGTGCTTCCTGGGCCATGTTAAACCCTGAACCCTAGACACTAAACCCTGCGCACCTGGTTCTCTGCCGAGAGCAAGAGCATCTCCAGGATATGAGGAATTGTGACGAGCACCTGTGCTTCGATTGCATGAACCGGGGGTTTTGGTCTCGATCACGGACCCACGTCAAACATGGGAGTCCTCGCCTGGCAGTTTTTCCACTTGCCAGCCTCCATGACGCCTCCAGCCTCATGATGGAAACGCACATATGAAGGGCTCCGAGCCGACGTTGCACATGTTGCAACTTCACCTTCTGTGCTGCTGCGGATAGTAAGTCGCGAGCTGAGTTGTACTCCTTGAGAAAGACACCCAACCTGTAAGTCAGGAGGGAGCTGAAAGGTGCAATGCCATGGGCTTATCTGAGCCAAGTGACAGCTCTGACTTGGAGTGAGCCGGATAAATCTTACTGCCGAAGCGTGCATAGATTTCCGCGCTCACCTGCAAGCTGTGCACCGATCAGTCGGCAGGCACTCTAACGCTACCCCCCCCCCCCCCCCCATGCTCACATCAATCTCTGACAAAGGCTCAGACTGCGAATCTACGAGCCTGATTCACAAGAGCCTTCGAGGGAGCCACGTAGACAGCAACACCCTCGTGATCCTCTCTGAGGACCTGCATCAATCTCTGCAAGGCAGGAACTTATGTCTTAGGGCTTAGGATTTAGGATTTAGGGTTTAGGCTTTAGGGTTTACGGTTGGCTTTAGGGTTTAGGGTTTAGGGTCACACACTACCTACTCATCCATGCCTGATCCATGACGTAGTAGCCAATGAAGGTTTTGCCGCTGGCAGTGGGCGCAACAACCTCAAGGCCATGCATGGACAAATCACCTGAAGAGATGCAGCTTTACCACCTACCCTGAACCCTAAACCCGAAACCCCTAAACCCCTAAACCCTAAACCCCTGAACCCCTAAACCCTAAACCCTAAGCCCTAAACCCTTCTGCAGCTTCTTCACAACTTCACCATGGACTGTGCAAGATGCATCCGCGTGGCCAGAGCTGACTCGTTGCTGTCCACGATGTCAAGGAGGTCCTCTTCAACTGTCTTTTGGGGTTTAGGGTTTAGGGTTTAGGGTTTAGGGTCCAGGGAGTTTAAATGACATGGGAGTTTACGAAAATAAGGGACGCCAAAAATAGACCCCCCAAATAGTAGGATTGCCTTATAATAAGGACCCCAACAAGGTAATTACCCCTAATTTCGGAAACCCTAAACCCTGAACCCTAAACCCTAAACCCCACATTGGGAATTCATCCAGCGAGGTCCCTCTGCCACTTGTCCGGCTTGAAGTTGACCCGCTCCTTGGGATCCTGACAGAGTTCGGGAAATCGCGTGAGGAGGGGCTCAGGCTTTAGGGTTCAGGCTTTAGGATTTAGGGTTTAGGGATTAGGGTTTAGGGTTTTGGGTTTAGGGTTTAGGGTTTAAGGTTTAGGTTTGGGGTTTAGGGTTTACGGTTTAGGGTTTAAGGTTTAGGGCTATTCAAGAACCCCTAAACCCTAAAGGGTCGACCCCTAAGAACCCTAAGACCCTGAGTACCGTGAGAGGCCCAGGCCCTGAGAACTAAGCCCTAAACCAAATACTAAACTGACATAACCTCACATGTTCAGGGCGAGGGGTTCAGGGGTTAGGCAGCCCAGGAATCCATGCCAGCGCAATAAGCATCGTGCGCGACTGCTGCTTCTGCTTGATGTTTAAGTTGTATTTTGACAGCCTAGTCCGAAAACCTCGTCCGCGATTCTGAAGCTGACTTGGATCCTGAACAAACCTGAACTTGAGTCCCAAGATCAAAACCCTCAAAAGGTTGCACCGTCATCCCACTTGCTGAACAGACCGCAAGCCCTCCAATGGTCACCCCAACCACCATCCCCGACCCTGCCAGAGTTCTGCACGGCTACGCAAGATGCTCCGTCTCGCGTCTGTCTAAACTGTATCAACCAGCTGGGAACAGGATCCTGCTGCTGCTGCTGCTGCGATTGGGCAGCCAGGGGCTAGTGCCCGGGACATGTCTGAATTTAGGCCAACGCCCCAACTTTGCTGAAATGGGGCGGGTAAAACTAACTATGCAAAGGAAGTGATTCTTGAAGCCGACTGTCATCCTGAACAAACCTGGACTTGAGTGCCTAGCCCTAAACCCTCAAAAGGTTGCACCATCATCCCACTTCCTGAACAGACCGCTATCACCCCAAACTACTATCCCCTGGTGTGCCATGTTTCTGCAAGGCTACGCTACGGTCTCACGGAGGGGGGTTCTAAACTGCATCAAACAGCTGGGAACAGGATCCTGCTGCTGCTGCTACGTGTGAGCAGCAAGGGGCTGGTGCCCGGGACTGGTGCCCGGGACTGGCGCCCGGGACTGGTGCTCGGGACTGGTGCCCGGGACTGGTGCCCGGGACATGCCTGAATTTAGGCCAAAGCCCCAACTTTGCCGAAATTGGGACACTATGCAGAGGAAGTGAAAATTGGTTTTCAGGAACACATGAGGGTCATCTCAAGCTTGTGAAGAATCCACAACTTTCTCTTCCTTACTCGCGATGCTAGAATCAGCTGGCCCTTCCTCTACTGGCTGGCAAGCAGGCTCGACATTGTCGGGCAGACAAAGGACACAAAGGATTTGAATGATCGAGCATCCCGCCAACATGAAAAACAAGGCGCCATGCCCGTGCCAGCCCCAAGTTCGCAGTGTCCACGCGAAAATTGAAGCAGACGCCGCTGGTCCAACAGCTTTCCCAACTGTCTCAGCAGTCACTGCAAGACCATTTGCCATGAAATGATTTTGCGGACATGCGTTGTTGGTGAAAGCAACGTTCAGCACATTGTTGCCAATAAGGGCAGATGCCCAAACGAGGTGCAACACGTTGGCTACTGGAATGTTTGGAGAGAAAGGCAAGAAGCAGGCCGTGACTGCTGCAACGACACTTACCACAATGCTGTAGCAACGACTGCCAAACTGCTTCGAGCACCATGGCAAGACCCAGGTGAAGTAGATGATGTACCAAACAGCCGATCTGCAGAGAAAAGAGCCGACAGACTTTTCAGTCATCCCAAGGCCTCCCAGTTCAGGGTCAGAGATTAGCCACAACGGCACAGCTACATTCATAGTATACGAGGCGCACCCTGCGACAAAGCGCATGAAGAGGATCAGCGGCAAAGGCTTCTGGAAAATTAACGCCTTGCGTTTTGGAAGATCCAATCGAGGCTCTGCCTTCGTTGCCTTGACCGCAAGCTCCTCTTGCGCGAAAGTCTTGCGGACCGCAAACAAGAGGACGGAGGCAAGAATACTCAAACCACATCCAACCAGGCTTGGCAGTAATGCTGGCAATTCTTCGAAAGTGCCATAAGTCCAGCCTCCTATCGCAGGACCTATCAGCTGCATACCGCATCCCGCTGCAAA